TATCACTAGCCGATGACGCCTAACAAGGCAGAAAGGGCCTTCCTAGTGCCCCCTGTCTTTGCTAGTAATGTCCTTCTGCCTATATGCTAGCCTATATCCTAGACTCAACCCTTTAAGTATGCACAAAGAGCTATCAACACCTAAAAATGCATGGTTGCAGTCTACTTGTTCATCATTGCACTGACATTTCTAAATCTGTGACTGACAACAAAAGCCCTCACAAATAGACGGAAATGCGAAAAATTACCTCATTGACATGTTTTTATTTTGCAGGCCTTGGTAGACAAATAATGAGAAAATCAAGAGCCGACGAGAAAACAATATCACGTCTTCTTGAGGGTTACCCCTACTCCCCGTTAATGCACATTCCGGGCACGTTGCACACATCCTTCATACCAGATAAAGTGCCACTTAACCTTTCCACCACCGCACATCGCATCCTCAAGGAAGAAATATTTCACAATAGTGCCCTCTGTCAGGAACGAAGCAATCACGCCAGAGAGAAGAGGGAATTCCGCGAAGATGTCAAGCGCTTGCTGCGTCGAGTTCCCTACGACATGCTGGCTGATCAGTGGCTCAGACAGTGTACTCTGAGCGCTGAAGTCCGCGCCTACTTAGTGGAAAATATTCTGCCCCAGCTGGTTCTGGGTCTTGAATTCATACTCAAGGAGGCTGACAACAGGAATTTGGTTGAAAAAATGGAGCTTGATCCAAATTTCAATCCCATCAATCGTCTGGCGGAGTTTCTGATGCGGAATAGTCCAAAGTACAGCAACTTTTCTAACCTCACCCCCTACGCACGGGGTCTGAATGATGTGCTGGAGGCCCTCAAGGATGAGTTATTCTTCAGTTCAGACAGCGAATTGGCGCGTCTGAAAGCTTCGGCAGAGAAGAGACGCATAGACTTTGAGATAGTGAAGGCACAGGAGAGGGAATTTTTGGAAAAGAAACGCGCCAAAATCCTTCCAATATTTGACAAGTTCCTGCTGGATGGAGATGATCGTGTAAACGCAGTTGCGGTAAGCAACCATGATCTGCTAAAATGCAAAGTAGTTTTTTACAACAGTATGCGCTTTGAGTCCTATATTATTGCTCTCATAATTGTTGGGAGACTTAGTTCGAGCTTCAGCTTACTTCGATTAGAAGAAAAGTAAAAAAAGATGTAGCAAACACTTTGTTCCTTTTCTACTCTAACCAGGGGCTGCAAATGAATAGTGTCGACTATTGACTGTCTTATTACGCTGTTTGTCTTCAAGCTAACTGAGTTGGCACGCATGCCGAAGGGACATTTTCTGCTTTTTTTGGGCTAGGGCTACCAAAAGTGGTTGCGTTGCGATAGAATCCCCGAAATTAAAGAGTGGTACTGAAAAAATTAAAACATGGCTGGCTAACTCCAGGAAGGATGTCAGTCACCCTGTCACCCTGTTTATCAGTTTTTCATTTCTGGTAGGCTGTCGCTCTAAAATTGTCTGACAATGTACCAATTCGGACATAAAGACAAATTGACTTGAACGCAGTTTTTTTATTTTCGTGCAAATTGGGTTACAGAGAAATATATTGCTTTTCATTGGTGAAGTGGTGGTTGGAATTTTCTTAGCACTATAAATCTAAATGCATTCAACAAGCTATATATTATAAATTTAAAAAGATAACATTAACAACATACTCTCTTTTTGAACACTCGCCTATTTCCTAACGGTACTCGCTCTTAGGTTAAACTCCAGTATAGCTATCTTAGTCCTATCTGGTGCTTAGAAACGGAGCCACAATCTTCAAAAGACCTCCAAACCCAGCTTTTTTAACGATAAAGTAGTGATTTTACTGACCGAAATACTCTAAAATGTTTAATACACTTTTTTTGAGGCCAATATTCATCCTCTTGATGGGCAAGCTTTGCTCAGCGGAAAGCAGCTACTGCTTAGTTTGATGAATTAAGTGCAATAAGTTGACATTTTTCCTTTTAAAAGTCTTCCGCCGGTTTTAACCTTGCTCATTGATTGTAGTAGCATGGCAAATAACAGCAGGAGATACTCGAATTACGCGTGAGCCGCGAGCTGCTAGAGTCATGGTTCTCAGGCCCCCAGTCCATCA